GCGTGCGGCGCCGTTGAGGGCGCTGCCCCGCGCGCTCCCAGGCCGCCCCGGGTTAGGAGCAGCGCCCGGAGCCGGAGAGCTGGAGCACACGGAGGCGCTGCCGTCGCTCTAGCTCATCGCGGCGCCTGGAGGCGTAGGTTGGCGCCTGGGGTCGGGGACTGAGGCTTGGGCGCTGCCTGTTGGAGCGGAGATCTGGGTTTGCCTCCTGCCGCCGCTCAGGACCCTGACGCGGGTGAGGCTGCCCCGGGAGCATGAGCGGGCAGCGCGTGGACGTCAAGGTGGTGATGCTGGGCAAGGAGTACGTGGGCAAGACCAGCCTGGTGGAGCGATACGTGCACGACCGCTTCCTGGTGGGGCCCTATCAGAACGTGAGTGCGCCCGGCGGGGTCTGGCCCGGGTGGGAGGGGGCTAGCCCGCACCCGCGGCCCTGATCGCTTCCTCCGGGTTGCAGACCATTGGGGCCGCCTTCGTGGCCAAGGTGATGTCCGTCGGAGACCGGACGGTGACTTTGGGTATTTGGGTAAGTTCTCTGGGCAAGTAATCCTGGAAAAACCCGTTCCTGGAGTCGTGGGTCCTGCCTATTACTGGCTGAGTCGTGGCCTCATAGAGGCTGTTTCTCTTCTCTAGACTCCAGTTTAAAAACGGGGGTCTGGAGGACGTGATATTAGTTTGCAGTACTGGGGAGTAGCTCAGTAACTCAGGTCAGGGCTGAGCCTCCCCCTGCCCTCCAGGACACAGCAGGTTCTGAGCGCTATGAGGCCATGAGCCGAATCTACTATCGGGGCGCCAAGGCTGCCATCGTCTGCTATGGTAAGGAGGGTTTTAGCCTGTTCCTCAAACAAGAAGGGGTGGGTGCAGGCTGGCCCTTCAGAACAGCCCCTGACCCTTGGTTGTGTTTCCTGCGCGTCGCATACCAAGACCTGACGGACAGCAGCAGCTTTGAACGGGCAAAGTTCTGGGTGAAGGAACTGCGCAACCTAGAGGAGGTAGGTGGCCCGACCTCACCAGATCAGGCAGGGGCTGGGGGTCTGGTGGTGTGATGGTTCTAGGGGGTGACCCTGACATTGTCTTCTGCTTCAGGGCTGTCAGATCTACTTGTGTGGCACCAAGAGTGACCTGCTGGAGGAGGACAGGCGGCGTCGACGTGTGGACTTCCACGACGTCCAGGACTATGCAGACAGTAGCTGCTCCTCAGCTCCCTGGGGGTGGGGGAGGGACGTGACTGCTTGGGTGGGTCACAGGAAATAGGGACAGCCTTGCCTATTGCCAGATTCCCTGTAGTGCTAGCCTGCCCTCTTATCTGTGTCCATTTGATTCTCGGGTATGAGGCTTTAGTCACTTCTCTTTACAGATATCAAAGCTCAGCTCTTTGAAACATCCAGCAAGACAGGCCAGAGTGTGGGTGAGTGCTGCCCTGGGTCTCAGAGCAGAACAGGCAGGGGCACCGGAGGAGGCACCGAAGAGCCTAGAGCTGGGTTACTAGGTGATGACCAGGGCTACTGGCATCTGGTCCTCACTGATGGTCCTGTTTCCTGCCAGACGAGCTCTTCCAGAAAGTGGCAGAGGACTATGTCAGTGTGGCCGCCTTCCAGGTTATGACAGGTGTGTCCCTCCCTGGCCCCTGTGGAGACTTCCTCTAGGCCCATGGCTTCTTTGATCCCCCAACAGAATGATGCTGAGCTGCCACTTCTCTCTTTGACAGAGGACAAGGGCGTGGACCTGGGCCAGAAGGCAAACCCCTACTTCTACAGCTGTTGTCATCACTGAGTCACCACTCACCTGGCCTGGGGGAATTAAAGGAATTCCCCCAGAGAGGCTGGACGTACCTCTTACCTGGGTTTGGGTGATCAAACATCTGAGCTACCCCTGGTCCCCATGGCAGCAGAGGTGGCACCTGCCTGTGCTGGCCCGTGGAACGGAGGCAGCATTGGGCTGACTGATGGGCACAAGGAGGGTAAGGGCTGATTTGGACCCCAGGCTTCTGCCCTGGACAGCACTTGTGTCTGCAGATTATTTAAGTGGTTTCTGATTTGTAAATAAAATCACTGCACTGTGAATCACTCAGCCCCTTTCCCTGCTGTGTGGATTGGGTGTCAAGACACCTAGTACTTTCTGGGGCCACCTGGCTGGCCTCCCTTCCTGTATTAAGGCTCTTTTCAGCTCTACTTTTCTTTGAAAACCAAGTAGCTTCACCCCAGGGTTGCAGCTGAGATAATGAAGAAACAAAAGGGACCTTTCCCCATTCTTTAGTGGGGGCAAAGATAGGGCAAGAAGCTGGGGCTGGGGCAGTGCAAAGCTCCCAATTACTTCTTGGTGCTAAGAAGAGCAAGGAAAGCACTGAAGTGGTATCCAGAGATCAGAGGGTCAAGCTCTTTTACCTCAGACTGGCTGGCTCTACTGCATCTCTGTCATGTCTAGGTCCATGAGTCATGCCTGTGGCTCAGATCCTAAGCTTCCCAGCAGCACCCTGCAGTGTGGCTTAATAGAAAAAATCATAGGTTCTGCAAGACTTATAAAGGTCTGACAGATCTACATTAGGATCCAACTGAACTACTTACAAAAGGTACCTTAAACTTGGCCTGAGTTTCTCATCTGTAAAACAAGGTGACAACTACCCAGGACTGTGAAGATCATGAGTGAAAAGTAACCGTAGGACTAAATGCTTGTCTTCCCATACTCTTCCCTGGGGCAAGAAGTTCAGGCCTGGGTCACAAGGGGAAGCAGACTCCCAGGATTCCTGAAAGTGTATTTCTGAGTCTCAGAGGTCCTGATATTCCTGAAAGATCAGACGTTCCTGTTCAACCAAAAGGGAAGCATTAGACAGCCCTTTCTGCCATGGGAGGCTCAGCTCCTTTGCCTCTGCTTTCCCATTTTAGGCCTGGGCTGGGTCCTCTGCGATGCTCAGCACCTGCCTCTGAAAAAACTAAAAACTTGGTCAAGATGGTCAGACTCACACCCAGAAAGTGCTTTGGTTCCACTTCCTTTTAAAAAACCAATTCCTCAAAATACTCTTCCTTAGTGGGTAATGGAGGCTTCCTGTGTAGGGACTGAAACTGACACCAGCCACTCCCAAAAGCAGCAGAAAGACATTTCAGCAGCTGTGGCTGTGGCGGGAAACACACCGCACTCCCACAAAGTGCTTGGAGGAAGGGCTCAGCTCCAGCGTGTCCCCACCTGGGAACTATCTCAGGGGCTGGCTTCTGCTCTCACCCCAAACCCATCCTCCCTCCTGTTAGGCTACATCTCCCCAGGACAACAAAACAAAACACAGGGCAAGGGCCATAAGAGTAAAGTTAAACTTTACTTTACAGTAATTTTTTTTCTATATACAAAGAATTACAGTACATGTTTATGGGGACTCCTAGCACAGGGCTCCCCTCTTTTTCACTAAGTTTCACTTACAGCTGACAATCTGGGGGGGGTGCAAAAAAGTGATGGACCTCGGCTAACACCCCCTCTGCCCCTTTCTTAAAAATATAAAGGTAGATCTCTACTGTCAGCTTGCTTCTTTGCCAAGACCTAGAAAGCTGCTCCTCCATGAGCGCCGTGTGTGCTGCACTCGCCCATCCTCAACACGCTCACCTACACGCACACACAGGCAGCACCCACCTCAGACTAGAGACCGCCTGCTGTCTGCCCCTACCCTGGAAGTCTAAAGCACCAGAACCATTCATTTCTGCTCCTACTCCCTGGGTTCGCTTCCTGTCTGCAACGTTTTGCTCAATTTCCAGAGTGTTACACCTGAGGCCCCTCAACAGCCTGATGTTTTGAGTCATGGGAAAGTAGCTCTAGACAAGGGAACATGTAGGAGTTTAACATGTGCTGTTTTTGCTTATGTTGATAGGAAACATTTCTTACAGGCTGTGGATTTCTAATTAAAATAAACTCTTTCCACTTCCTTAAGAAATACTCTCCTTAATCTTCATAAGCAGCAGAGAGGCTCCCATGAGCGTGGAAGAGGTAGAGAGGGGCAGAAGGTAGCCGAGGGAGACCCCACCTGGAGCTCTCTACCAACCTGATCAGGCAGTGTGGACGGAGGCTATGGACAAGGTGACACCAGCCCTGAGAAACTCAACAGCCGCCCTCATCTGGAGACAGCATCTCTTCCACCTTTGGACTGCACCAGACCACCCCAGGGTCGAGCGCAAGATTCACCAAGACTCTATCTTCTCCTTCTCCATTCAAGCCTCAAAGAAACCGTTCTACCTAAGATCTCTTCCTCCCAAACAGGAACCTGAGTTTCTCAAGTCACCAGTCCCTCAATACTTGGCAGTGCTTATTTATACCAGGAAATTAGCACCATCATTACATTTCGTATGTGTGTACAAAGCAATTATCTATTCTTTTTTTCAGTTTACAAGCAACCTCTGGCCCTGCTGCACTAGCCCTAAGAAGCTCGGCAGGGAGCTAACTGGCCACAGCCAATCGAGGTCTCATGCAGCAGCTACCTAGCTCTAAGTGGTCCGGAAAGTCTAACACATGGGAACAGCTCCAACATCCTTCAGCAGGAAAAGGAGCTTGTGGCAGCTCCTTCCTTGCCATGATCTCAAAGAGGTGAGGACACTGGGCTACTCTGATCTCCTGGCTGACAAACCCAGAGAGGATGACAGTCTCCCCCCCAAAGCCTTAGAAAACCGGCTTTATAGTTGCTGAGGGAAAAGAAAATCCATCCACATTTAGTGCTCTCCTGATTCTTCTCCACAGGGGAAGCTGCCAGGACCAGATTTCCTTCCTGCCACTCTGTTCTCACAAGGCAACCTGGGAGTCCGCTCCAGTGAGTAGACACTGCCAAGCCTGGGAAAGGATCGCTGATGCACTTCATGCCCCGACTATAGTGTGGGGTGGAGGATGTAAATAATAAAATAATTATTTTCATCAATGCTAATGATGTAGACATAGCAGTTGTTCAGAAGAGGATCAACGCAGTGACTTCAATCACTTCAAGCTGAGTCGCCTCAGGGGGAAGCAGACATTTAAAACCTTGGATGCTTGGGTAACAGTGACAACCGTTCTGCTACTAGGACGTGTTTGCTCCAGTAGAAAAACAAAGGAGGCTTTAAATTCAAATTTCAACACTTTCCATCATTTTTTTCTGACTTAATGGGGCTAGGAGAGAGATTAGTTCTCTAGCTAGCTATGGAAGCGCTGGCTCCCCTCTCAGAAAGGCTTCTTGGGGGATAGGCTTGGACAAGGCAGGCTAGGCTCTCCTACTAAAGTCCTGATTTCCAAGCACTTGGCCAAATGCCAAAATACCATCCTGCACAAAAATGAAGAGTTTCTAAGAGTAAAGATTTCCTTTTAACTGCTAGTTCACAGCCCTGGAGAAAAGGTCTCAGTAGAGGCTTTAGGAGAATCCGCAAAGGCTCCTCCCACACTGTCACGCAAGAGTCTCACTTCCTGAAAGTCCTTCTGACTCTGCTTCTAACTGTACAGTGACTGCTTTTATGAAGTTAACAATCTAGCATCAGATGCTGCTGTCAGTGGGCCTGAGAGTTGAATGTCTAATTTCCAATCAACCTAAGAGTCTCTCAGTGGCCCTCAGGAAAGCCTGGCTGTCCATCCATTTAAATAAAGAACTACTCCCAAACCAAGCACAGTTCAGAAGTTGTTTCCCAGGCAGGGTTGGAAGGAAGCTTCCAGTGAATGGGGGAGAATGGAAAAAAACTGAAAAAACCCACGAAGTGGCTCACTGTTCCCTCACTCCCTCCTGTCCTGTGAGACATATCCAGAGCGGCTGTCAAGTCATTTACCTACCAAAGCCTACTTCAGAGAAGCTACTTCAGGATCAAACTTCTCCACTTAAAATGTTTACATAGCCTGCACCCCCCCCAAAAAATTCACAGTTTATTTCATGAAACAAAGAGCTACGGTAATTTAACACACAACATAGTGAAAAGAGGTTCTGACAGTGCAGTGCGGTATCTTCTTCTGATCACTACAGATGACAGGAGAGAAAAGGGCACAGGACTGGCACCACACAAGCCCTACTCGTACAGCCTAAGAGCAGGGAGAGGGACCTACTAGCTGCAGTTACATACTTATCCTCACACATGATAAATACTTAATATAACGAACTTTCACGTTCTGGGTGGATTTCTTTAAAAATATCTTCTCCATGGTTTAAAATTTTTTTAAAAGAAAATAAGATGCTTTGTTTTCTCTTCCTCTTGAACAAAGAGCTTTTCCTCTCTGATGATGTGGGAAGAGAGAGAGGATGAAAGGGGAGAACTAGGCAGGTGGAATTTACAGAGGAGATTCCGAGGTCTAAGTGAGATGCAGGAATTGGCCCCTAAACTCAGGGCAGCCCTGCCCAGCCTCGTGCCTCTGCCTGAGTTCAAGTGTCTCAACCCCAGAGACAGACTTTGGGAAATAAAAGCAAATTCTTTTTAAAATCTTTATATAAAGCGCAAATGCTTCTATAACAGCTATTGTTCCCTCCTTAGAAATGATGGGGGTAACCTCAATAGAAACTCAGGAGGAAACTGGGACGAAATACAGAATTCTGTTGAGGGTGTAAAAGCCATAACTGAGACAGAATGGCCAGGAGACGTCCTGTTGGCTAAAGCTGCTGGCTAAGTTGGCAAAGCGTAGAGGTAAACATGTTTGGTCTAGGGACAAAGAGGGGTGGGTAAACGGGAAGGAACTGGCCAAACAGCACTTCCTGTCGGCAGTCAGTGAGCTGGGTGACTGGTAGGGCAGGGTAGCACCAACAGATTCCCAGCCCTTGGGCCCCAGCTCAGGGCAGCAGTAACAGATAATCAGCAGTTAGGAGGAGTCATCTCTCACACTGGACATTGCTCTGAACACCACACCTTGCCAGTCACAGGGGAAGGGTCTGGCTTGCCTTTGAACTAGGTCAGCAGGAGGTGCACTCAGTACAGAGCACAGCATTTCTCAGGGAGAGGGTGGTAGAATCCACTAAAGAAGACTCCCTCCGTTCAGGTAGAAGGTCCAAGGGTCAGGAGAGAAGTAATACCACATCAGGACCTGGCACCCTCCCTGAGCTGGTGGTGGATCTAGCCCAGAGCTTGCCAGAGATTCCCTAGGTCCACTGCCCGAGACTCTGAAATCTGAAAGCACCTGAGTGTTTGGGGGACAGGCATGGGGTGGGTTGATGTAAAAGGAAGAAAATCTGTAGAAAAGAAACGTAAGCTTGCCAGTTGCCTTCTTACACTGAGGGAAAGCTATGTCCTCATGAAGCCCAGCCCCCAGCCAGCTGTTCTGCCAAGGACAGACTTCAGACTCTGTAGCGCCCAGGCAGAAGCAGCAGCGGCTGCCCAGCCAAGAGCCCCAATTGGCTTTGATGCAGCCCCCACCCCGACCATAGAGGAGACCTCCGCACAAGCGCGCACAGGTGCAAACCCACACGTGCACACCTGACCAGGAGACACTTACTCAAAACAACCACTTCCGGGGCCACAAAGGACATCACAGAATGAGTCTGGAGACCAGAACCCCTCAAACTTCCTGTTATTTCCTGGTCAAAGGTTCTTAAAAACCACCTGGGAACCCAGGCAGGCATGTTAGGCTCCCAGGGATCAGGTCTTATTTATCTGTGGATCTCCTGCCAGTGACTAGCACCAGGCCTACCACACGTGAATGCTCAAGAAATCACCACCGGTTTGAATGGATGTCAGTTCCTCCCAAGGGTTCATCAGGTACCCTCAGTGGAGCTCTGTAGGGCTACAGAAATAGCTTTGAGAGCCCTTCTACCTTCCAACCTGACCAGCCGAATTGAATCCCATGCTTGACTCCAGAGTGGACTCTTTATTTCAAGTTGACCACGAGTAAAGGTTGGGGGAAAGAGACCCGAGTCTGTCTGTCTCCTTGGCCAGGGCCCACTTGGACCCCCATACATGGTTCACACAACCACAAGCCCCCACTGGCTAATGTCACGGGAGTTCTGAGTGTTGGGATGTAAGGAAAGAGTAACAGTGTAAAAGTGTTGGGGATCTGTCTGTTTTTTAAGAGGGGAAAAAGAAAGATTTCCCTTCCCCAAAGACCCTGGGGTCAGCTGGTCTGGTCATGTGACATTTACTGGTTATTATTTCTGTTCTGACTCTGCACACTTGTGACTGGAAGGAGCCTGGTTAAGAGCTGGAAGTGTACTTTGCTCTGGTTTAGGGTCTTGCCCTCGTCCAAGAGACCAGCAAGTCTGTGCCAATGTCTGTGTGCTCCCGGAGGACCAGCAAGATTGAGCCAGTGTCTGCCCAGCCACCATGGGCCAGAACCCTGGCCCTGGTGAGGCCTTTCCCAGGGCCCAAGGACTCTGATCTGTGGTTGCCAACTTCTTCTCTTCCGTGGAGAGGGAGGATGAGGCCTTCCCAAGAGGCCTGAAGGACTGCCCACTCCTGGCAGCAAGTCCAGGTAGTTGCTGGCCCCCGGCCATCTGCTTCACCTGCTTCACCAGGCCTGGTGCTTGGCTGGGAGGCCCTGGGGTCTGCTCAGCCCCTGCAGGTGCTCTTCCTGAGGCCTGAGTTGCTGGCTCATATAAAAAAGCCTTGGCAGGGGACTGAGAAAGAAGTCTGGCCTGGGTGAGTGATTTAACAGCTTTCCAGGAGTGCTCCGAAGCGGCCACAGCTTTGCCTGGTGGCTGGAGGACAGGATCTGATACGCTGCCTCTCTCAACAGCTCGCGGCATCTGCCCCAGACCTTTGCTGGCAGGCCACGAGCTCGACTCCAACACTGACATCTTCTCATCAGCCTGTGGTGGGACCTCACGGGGAGAAGCTGCCCGATCCTTCTGGCGAGGAGTTAGGTCTATGAGGTCCATAACCAAAGCAGCTCTATTCTTTGACTGAGTGTTCTGGTCCACGGGCCTCAGCGCTTTTTCTTTAGCTACCAGGGTCTGGACCACAGCTGACAGCACTTTGTCAGGAGGTGGAAGTCTCTGGGACAGAGAGGCATGGGATTTCTCAGGGGGCCTGTCTAAAGTCTGGGGTTTGGGACTGCTGGTGACTAGCAGTCTCTCTGGTGGTGGGAGTCTCAGGCCAGAAGGGACTGGGGTTTTCTCCAGCGACTGTGGCCTTGGGCTGGCAGCACCTATGGATTTATCCAGCCTTGGGTCAGCTGTTCCCAGAGGTCTTTCCAGTGGTTGGGACCTGACTGAGGGCGAGGAGCTTGGGCCAGTCACCGGAGAGGGTTTGTCAGACAGCTGGGGTCTTGGTCCTACCACTGCAGGTGGCCTGTCCAGTGGCTTCTGGCTGGATACCAAAGACTGGGGTTTGGTCCCTGACCCAGCAAGGCCCCTGACCCTGTCCACAGGCTGGGGCCTGGGGTCAGTTCTGTCAGGTCTTTCAGGCAGCGGCGGCCTCTGACAAGTCCCTGCCAGAGCTTTTTTGGACAGCGACAGCGTCTGATTGGTGTCAGCAGATGGCTTGTCCGACGTCCTGGGCCCCTGAGCAGCCGCTCCTGGTGACTGCTCTGCCAGGCGAGCGCTCGGGCTTGGAGACAGCGGTACTGGGGGAGGTACATACTCACGGATCTCCCCAGGTTCCAGAGGGTTGGGCCCACAGGGGTCGTGCTCAGTACAAGACAGGCGCCCGTCCAGTTTGGAGATGAAGAGCATGCCTTCCCGGTGCTGCTTGCAAAAGGAGCTGGGGCACATCTCACAGAAGGAGGCCGCTTCCTTCCCGCAGACGTCACACTGATGCCAAGGGCACTCCCATTTCCCTGGAAACACAGGCGTGAAACAAAAGCTTAGGAAAACAAGACGTGCATATGAAATGAGATGGGCCATGGCTCTGGAACCAGGTCAAAGGAGTGATTTCAAACTGCTGCCTTCTGCAGAGAGCGCATGCCACTCACCTCATACCTCACTTCTCCCAGGATCTCAGCTTCATCTTCTGAAAAAATGCATAACACCAAGTAGCAAGTAGCAACTGAGTATCAATTAAGAAACAAACAGGAGCACATCCTGATTTCGGACTATTTCCAACAAGGGAAAAAAGAACCAAAACAAAACCCAAAGCTCCCCTTACATGGAATATGAAGAAATTACATATTTTCACAAACTCCATTTGTCCTACACAGTTCAACACTTGAGGGGAAAATTTCAGCCAACTGAACTGCTTATTTGGTTATTATTAGGAACAGCGAGCAGATACACAAAGGCAAAAAATGGAAGCAGATTTACCTTTGAGCTCAGTGTTAAGCCTGGAAACTAGCACAACCTTTATCTGTGTTGTCCACACAGAACCAGCAGGAAAGACCCAAAGCCAGCCTGAGCTGCTCTCTTTTGCTGCCACTTCATGACACCTGGGTCTCTGCCATGGACAGTGTTTCCATCCCAGCTCCTTCCAAGTAAATTATGCTATATCTCACTCCTGGATCCTAGGCAAGATCACAGCTCTACCACAGCCCATGCCAGCTACACCTGAGTAACTGCTTCTGAAACAATTCCGTTTCCACTTCCTGGCACTGAGGTCAGTGTTACGGCCTTGCTCTCACACTACCCTCAGTTTCTGTTATTTCATTATCCTGGCAACCACAGAGTAAAGGAAAACTAATTCGGGGACAAACTGCTCTCACCCCCACCCCAAAGTTCTGGAATTCCCAGAAGCAGGCCACTAATGATGCATAGTATCACCCAGAATGGTTTTTCACCTTTGTCATTTAAAACTGATGGCATATCCAAATCCTGAAACTCCTCTAATGCCAAATCACCACATTAGTGGTGGTTAGTGATGACTTCTCCAGCCACAAGTTCCTGTGCACCACATCTGTCTGCACAGCTTCTCTTGTGTTTACTAACACAACTCCATCTCCTTCAGAGAGGAGTGGGCTGGAGGCTACAATGACCCCAAAGCTCCACTCTTCCTCAACCCCTTTCTATAGAGAACAAACATGATTTAGTGGCTCTGAAGTCAGAAAATCTGACTTTCAATCCAGCTCCTCCATCTCTATGCGCTAATGTGACAAGTCAGCTCCTCAGAATGTGACTCCATTTCTTCATCTGCATCATGAGAAGGTGGAAAGGTCTCTTCTTTATGGGTTGCTGGGAGGATAAAATAACATAAAATAAAATGCATGACCCATAGCAAGTGAGTTTTTTTCCCCTTCTCTAAAACCTAGGATTCTAAGCCTTTGCTGTCATTCATTTTGAGAGTGAGAACGTGGACCACACCCCTCAACACTATGCACAGGAAGACCAAAGCTTCTGAGAATTCTGGCCAGGAGCACTCCAAACGGATTTCGGCACCAACCTGCTGGTCGCTTGGTTAGATTGAGACAGTCTGCATGGTAAACTTTGGGGCAGCCTGGCTTCTTACAGGAGACGAGCTGGCCAGCATCCCCACAGCTGAAACACTCATCCTCTCGCTCCTTTGTGATTTCACCCTGGGTCCTGCGTTTCCCCTGTTGCTTCTTCTTGAATTTCTTTGTCTTCTCCTCTGTGGCAATGGGCTGATTCTAAAAGGTCAAATATTGAGCAGTCAGCATTCTGTTAACATATTAGTTTTATGATCTTGAGCAGACCAGGTTAACTACTCTCTCTGAGCCTTGGTCTCTCCTCTGGGAAGAGACAGTCCTCACAGACTATTGTGAAGATAAGAGAAAATGCAGGCAAGGCACTGGGCACGTCACAGGTACTCGACGAATGGTGACAGCACGAAGTGTGCCTGGTACCAGCCACTCCTGCCACTTGGATGAAATAAAAAATGTGCCTCTTTTTGTTGATACACAGGCTGGTGTTAAGATCACCCTTTAACAGTAAATTTAAAAACCAGTTTGTCTAATTTCTAAACTAAGGAAGACTTCTCTAGGTGTGTGTGTCACACACATTTCTTAACTGATTCAACAAACCTTCACTGAGCACTTGGTATCAATCATGTGCTAGAAAAACACAGAAAACTAATTCATGGTTCCTGCCCTTGATAAGCTATGCATCTTAATCAAAGTCAGATTAGGCTCATGTCCACCACTCCCCAAGACAGAACCTGGTGTAGTCAGCAGGCCTGCTCTGTGCTTCCTGCAGCCCGTACTTGGTCAAGGTTTTCATTACATTATTTATCTTGGCCGAGAAACATCCAGGACCAATCCAATTTACCGCTAGCCCACATTTCCAAACTTCTGCTCCTGAATTCCTCTTTCACTGATTCATGTGTGAAATTCTACACAGACCTTAAGGATACGGAAACCAACACCCCAAGTGGACCTAACATCATTAAACTGTTACGATTTTAATTTATAGGAACTAAGTCAACTGGACATCTTAAGGATCAAGACAATTTAACCAACCAACTAAAGAAAAAACCCCAAATTCCAATATATTTTTTCTTATTTAGATAAAAGGGTAATTAGTGGGTGTTCTTCATGTGTTATTGCTCAAAAATAATTACCCTTTTAAGGTACTGGTTCCTAAGCTAACTTGCATTTTTCAGTTCTTAATGTTGACTTCACAATCAAAAAAAGCATAATGAGAGAAATACCCAATTGGAGTCACTGTGTAGTCTCCCTTGCATCAAAATTAAACCACAATTTTCAGTGTGCTGTTACTTATGATAGAGGAATCTGGAAGTACCCAGAGGTTCACTTATTATGGTCTGCCCATTTTATACATACATATATATATATATATATATATATTTAAAAAAACTAAGTCACAAAAAATGATGGTTAAGAAAGCTGTGATAGTAAGGAACACATTTTAGAATATTTAAGAGAAGCAAGACAGACTTGTAAATAGCTCTTTATAGTTCTAGGATTGTAATTCAGTTAGAGTGCACATTAAAAATCAGGAAGATACAACAAAGCTTATATTCTGCTACATGGTTAAGATTGAGAGTCCTGTTTTTCTGCAGTCTTATACTACATTTAGAATCTTAAATTCAATAGCAGATTCTTTAATATCTTTAAAAAGGCAAAAAAAGAGAGAGACTGAGAGTCTAACTAGCTCATTAGGAAATGCGAATGAGATCAGCTGAGGACCAATGGGAAGTACCTTGCTTTACAGATTCCTATTTCACAGTTTCTTTAGCTAGAAAGGTATCACCAGTTAGAAGTCAGATTGCTCAAAACAACACCCAAAGGCCTTCTCTGGTGTAACTGATGACGAGTGGTCCTACTGACAACTACTCAATGTCATTATTTCAAAGTGTTATCTTCTTCAAATAGTCCTGCCACCAGTCAGGGAGGGAGCACCACACCATTATCCCTGATGCAAACATTTGGAAAGTACCTTTGGCCTTACACCCAAAAAGCCACTGCAGTTCGGGGCTCCACATTTGCAAACAGTCTTTCCATTCCCAAGACATTCTAGGTTGTAGTTGAAGGTAAGTTCAGTGCCTGCGTAAGAAACCATGAAAATATTAATATCTGTGGTTTTAATTAAATTATTTCTATATTAATCACAAAAGATACTGACTTCAAGAGAACACATTAATTTTAAAAAGAGGATTAAAATGATGTATTAACTATAATCCCATTATAGTAATAAAATATTAATAAATTCTTTTGGGGAGGGGAGTAATTAGGCTTATTTATGTATTTATTTCTTAATGGAGGTACTGGGGATTGAACCCAGGACCTTGTGCATGCTAAGCAGGCACCCTACCACAGAGCTACACCGTTCCCCTTATAAATTCTAATCATGTAACATTATCAATCAGCTAATAAAACTTAATAACAGGAAAACTTACATGACTTAACAAGTAATATTTAGAATGACTTTTACTATAGGGGGTGTTAATTATCCCAAGTTTTTCTTTTATTTTTTGTCTAACCACTCAGATTTGAAATATATTAATTCATTACCAAAAAACACAAACAAATGACAACTTATTGATATGCCAGGCACTGGGAAAGCAAATACAAAGGAAACCTGTCAGTCTATGCCAAGGTGAGTACCTGGCAGCACTCATTTGAGAGACATCTCAATACAGAATAATACCAGAGAACTCTGGACCAGAGACCTAAGCCCTGGCTCTACCTCCCAAGTTACACCACAATCTAGCTGGGTGATCCGAGCTCGAGTCCATCTGTTAAATATAGAAATAATAATCTGACAAGCTTACTGAGAATGACATAATGCATGCAGCAGTGATCTGTACACATTAATAAGAGATGTACAGATTTAAGGTACAGAATGTCCCCTTTCTGTCACAAGTACATTTCATCAAAATTGAGAGCAAATAGAACACACAAACATCCAAACTAGAAGCATGTTAGGGAAAGCCTAGCAAATAAAAGAATTTCATATGTGCATACAAAGAGGCTGTCTCTGGGTGGAGGTAATGGCTCGCTGTTAACATATAAAGTGATAACTTGTGTGATCAAAATTATCAAAACTTACCAAGAGTCCCCACTGCAAAATGACACATCTTCTATCAGTGAGACTAATACACACAAACACACACACGTGTGTGTCTGTATATATATAGGTTTTTTAGTCTAAATTGGAAATAGATCATTATTTATTTGGCCGAGCAAATTATAAAGCAGCTGGCATATATTTAGAAGTCCAAATGGTACAAATACTAGAATCATTTATGGCCTGGTGTGAGGCTCACAATGTGAGGAGCCCACAGGAACCAAGACTGCCCAACGTAACAGCAAGGTCGTATCTCCCTTCTCACACCCACTGTTAACTTAATGGATTGAATGATGGGTAATTCCATTCACACTATTCTTATCTTATTAAAAAAATTATGAGTATATAACTGAATTTTCATAAATTTAATGTGCTTACAACACATCTCAACCAAATACACAAGAATAAGATAGCAGGATCCTTGACATAACTTCCTGCTTACTCAGGATCCACTGTGTAAACACAACCTCACGGGGGATAAATCAGAAGGTACCAGAGTGCATACAGGAAAGCCACTCTAGAAAAGAGTCCAAAACACAACAATCCTTGAGGTGTGTACTTCCTGGAACAGCAAAGGGCGCTGCAGAAGAGACAAACACGGTGTGAGCAGGACATGTGGGAGACAGAAGTAACAGGTGTGCGAAGAGCCTGTGAGGCTGGATGCGTGAGGAGGAGGGCAAGCTGAGGGTTCTGATTCCTTCACAAGGCTGGGCTCCTATGGGCATTCTGTCTCACCCCCACGCCCTCAACTTGTGTAGACTGGGAGGACAGGAACAAGGTCTGTGAATTCCTACACCACATTACCTGAGCTAAACAAATATGGGAGAAGAGAAATTTGTCGCTAGACATCATACCGGAGGCCATCCCCATGGTCACAGACTGAAGTTCCAAGCAGAAGTGTGCTACTAAAAGCAGTCAGGACAGAGAGAAGGACTGAAGTCACATGACTTAACATCTAATGAATACAGAGGAACCCTGCCTCCCCACCCCTCTGTGGTGGTTAGAAAGGAAAACAGAAAAAAGAATGAGAGATCAGATCCAAGAAGCCAAGTAACACAGGTATAATACGACATGCTTTACAGCACACTTTTGTAAGGATTAAATGAAATAATATGCTTGGAACAGCATCTGGCATTGGATAAACGGTAGCATTCACTAGATAATTCCTATTACAAAGCAGAAATCTACCCAATATACTCCTGAAGCCATCCATTCCAAAAGCCTGATACAAGTCAGCATTTTAAAAATCAGTATCATTTAGTCTACCAGAGCGCAGTGCACAGGGATGCTCAAGTATTGATACTTTCGTCATTAAATACTTCATGTGAAGCAGTGCAAAACAGGAGAAAGGAAATAGTGGCTCAATGTTTAAAATATAAAAACTGTCAGAACCTTTAAACTCTAAAAAGCCTAAAAGACTCCTGAGCAGCTGTATATTTAAACTGTAGAGAAAGATATATTGTACATGGGGAATGTAACCAATATTTTATAGTAAGTATAAATGGAGTATAACCTTCAAAAACTATGAATTATTATCTTGCATACCTATAACATACAATATTGTACATCAACTGTATTTCAATTTTTAAAATATGACATTGTAAAATAAATAAATAAATTTGGTTTAAGAAATTTATCATCAAAACCTTGACATAAAGATTAAGCTCCTTTAATTTATGGAAAATATTCATCATATAACTTTACTTTCAAACCACTCAGCCTTATCAGATTTACTTTCAATTCAAATAAACTTCTTAATATTGTCCTGATTACAACCACCTCACTTCTTAGAAGCTGAATTCTTAGAGACATAGGCCCCTGGCAGGCCCCAACAGGGCTGTGCATTTTCCCAATGTCCAGTTCTTTGGTGTCCAAGAGGTGAGGGTTTTTGTCTTTCTTAGCCTTCATAAACTATAAAATTCAGATGGGTGAGAGGTGAATCTCTGGCTTATAAAGTGGATGAAGGGCAGCTGTGAAAGGGATAGTAAGAAAGGACACCTGGATTGCTGGTGCTTTTTAAGGCAGACAGATTTTTAGGGAGTTCATATATAAAAGTTACAGAAAATGTCTGGAAATTTATTTCTTTAAAACCATCCATGCCCAAACCTTGAAGACAGCATGCTAAGTAAAATGAGTCAGTCACAACAGAACATATATTGTATGATCCCACTTACATGAGGTTCCCAGAGTAGTCAAAATCACAGAGACAGAGACAGAAGGTAGAATGGTGGTTGCCAGGGGCTGGGGGAGAGGGGAATGAGGGAGTTACTGTTTAACAGGCACAGAGTTTCAGCTGGGGAAAATAAAAAATTCTGGAGATGGGTGGAGATGATGGTTGCACAATAACGTGAATGGACTTAATGCCGCAGAACTGTACACTTAAAAATGGCTAAAATGAGCTTTATGCAGCGGCAGTATCGTAGCCAATGAGGTTTATCCGAGGCATGATTACTGCTAATTAAATAAAAAAAAAAGGCTAAAACGATAAATTTTATGTTAACGTGCATTTTACCGTACCGCCATGACCAAAAAGATACCTGCCAAGTTATCAGCTGGAAAGTCTTTTATGTATCCTTAGGAGTCTGAGAACCTCATTTTGGATTATAGGACATACGGGATTTTCAGATAACAGAATCTGAAGTTCCATTCCTAGCTCCAGAATCCTTAAATGATTCTTACCTGCTTTAATGTCACTTAGGGCAAAAAGGCCAACACGGGTGTCTCCATTCACAGACCACTTCTGTGTCTCACAATTGGGCTGGCAGCAATGATTCATGAACCGTGCGTAGTTTCCTTTGGGACCAGCATCAATAATCCGGTCCTAGAATTCAAAGAGATGCTGTTCATCAGACCTCCACTATTACTGATTCTAATTAGAGTATTCTATCCGAACTTGTGGTTGCCAAGGGCAGGCGGGTGGGAAGGGGCAGACTGGGAGTTCAAAATTCATAGATACTGACAGGCACATGTAGAATAGATAAACAAGATTATACTGTGTAGCACAGGGAAATATATACAAGATCTTGTGGTAGCTCACAGTGAAAAAAAAGTGACAATGAATATATGTATGTTCATGTATAACTGGAAAATTGTGCTCTACACTGGAAATTGACACAACATTGTAAACTGACTATAACTCAAAAAAAAAGTAAAAAAAAAAAAATAATCAGAGTATTCTAACAAGCTGGAGCTCCTATTTGTAAAGTCCGAGTCTCCCAGAGGGGTGGTTCACAAAGTGTAGTCCCGTGACCAGCACTACTTCCACCACCCTGGAATCTGTCAGAAATGCAGGTTCTTGGTTGCACTTCAGATATACTAAAGCAGAGACTCAGGCCCGGCAGTCTGTGTTATTAACAAGCCCACTAGGTGACTCTGATATATGCTGAAGTTTGAAAACCACCGTCCTGGAAGTAGCATCTTGTCCCATCCTCTTAATTAGTAGGTCTTGAACCCTGGCTAAATATTAGAATTCATCTAAAAAGATTTTAATAATGATATCGAGACCCACGGCAAACGAAGATCAGAATATCTTGAGGTGAGGATCTCACAAACCATAAAGGTACAACTTGATAAATACAAAGTTTTACACCAGGAAAAGTCTATTATGAAAGCCAGCAAGAGGGAAGGGTGGAGAACGGGCGCCCTAGTAAAACAAAGAAGAATCTCAGATAGTGTACACAGGAAGTAAACACGTTAGGATGCTAGAATTAGAAATAAACCCCAAATATAATTGTAGACACCAAGGAAACGCAACTATCAGAAATTCCAGTAACTGGAAAGCTCACTTGGGTTCATAAGCTGAGCTCTATAGTCAATTTATACGACCTTCCCAATGCGCTAATATTAACAAATCAGTTTCTCAATCTGTAAAACAAAATTAAAAGAACTATTATTTACTTCTTTGACTTCAAGTTTTAACCCTATGGGAGAAACGCTGAAAGATACAATCTGCAACTTACACTGGACAGTTGAAAAATAGTGCTAAAAGCAGCCTCACTGCTTTTTGCCATGGATGTGTAACTAGAAATGAGCAACCTTACCTAACTCCAGGACCCTGGTCAAGCAATGCCAATGAGCATGTGGAAAGGCACTGTTTTGGGCATGTCTATAAACATCGCAGCTGGGACAGGACTAATTCACAATCGTGCAACAGGGGAAGTAACACTTTCCATTACTTACTTTGTCTAGAGTGAGCATGTAGAAATTAGTGATATCGTGTTCCT